ACTGCAGTCTTTTTCCCCACGAGGCGGATATACCCGTTGAGAGGGTGGATAGTCGCCCTCTTACCCCCCAACCGGCGAGCTTTCGTGAGCTCTGCGACATTCAATATATACGGTCCGGACATTCACCGCGACATCAGACGGTGTTTTCGTCGCTTCTTTCTGAAGAGGTTTCTTAGTCGGGAACGTCTTTGTCCCGACCTTATCTCGGTTTATCTCGTTTTACTCTCCGTACCGATTTTACGTACTACACAAACCATAACAACTTTTTTTTTGCAGTGTCTGTACAAACATATATCCATAACGGAATGTTATATAAACAAGTTTATAAACAGTTATATAAACGTACTATCCAGGTGAAATTTATAATACAACTTACTGTTGGGTTGAACAACATTATTTATATGAAGGAGACATGGTCCCAAGTTGTATTAAACAAAGGTTTGTACTTGAAAGGACCAGGAGGAAGGAGTCGTGTGTCTCGAGTCGTCCTCTTTTTCACAAGTCTTGTATCTGAGACTCTTGTAGACACTCTTTCACTCCACACCATAACAGGGCAGATGTGCGACAGACAGAGATTGCAACATAACCAGACAGAGAATGGTGCCATTGGGCTACAAAAAAAGAGGGTCCTTTTGCTGCGTGACGTCTTGCCTCTGCCATTGTAAGTCTGTACGGAGAGACAGCCTCCCTCGTCCTGTTGGACCGCCCACGAGTCCTCCACTCCCCTCGGCGCGAACAGTAAGACATTAGCTTATTGTGTCGTCTACCTGACACACCGCCCAATAGAGTAAATAGATGTTCTGGCGACGTCGGTAAGGAAATACTCAGTTTAGGAAGCAAACTAGGGAAAGAGAAAGGAAAGATGGATAAGGGAAGGAGTACAGACGTCCGTGCAATACTGCTCGACGACCTTTGCATCTTCTCGGATGCACCTCCTCGACGAGACACAGGAATGTCACACAAGTAAATATACTATGACAAATAACAAATACAACAATAACATAAGTACAAAGACACCAGAATTTAAACTTGAAACACAAGAAAGAACCCCTCGTGAAACACTTAAAGACACTTTCCAATTGTCCACGATATGCTTTATTTTGTATAATAATAATTAATAATAAGAGAGGTTTTTACAAAGAAGAAGACAAAAAACGACCCATATCTCGAGACTAAACACACAAAGTCCTATACGGAGTCTCTACCCTATTACGTGCGGTACCGAGGGGAGTAGGGGCGAGGAAACGTCTTTGTTCTTCCTACAAGACAAACCGTGTGCCGGTCTTTAGATGGTGAAGGTGGTCTCCACTGTCCTCGCGGTAGACGCGACAGTAATTACTAAGTTCCTACATGTGTTCGATGTCTACATCAATACTGTCTAACTGTAGGCATCCAGTTGTCCGAGGAGGTCGTCACGTTGTGTTATTTTTGTCTATTATCGACGTTCATTTAGTTTAATTTTATCCATTATATTATATGTAAACGTCTTATGCTAGTATGTCACAAAGGGGATGGTAAAGAACTCTCCCCGCGACGCGGGGTCGGTTGCCTCGGGGCGCCAGGGGGTACTTTAAGTTCCACAATTTTTTTTGTTTCGTGATATTGTGGTTATTAAAAAATAATTATATATATGGCATTAAAAGCCTGATATTCGGCGTGGGAAAAAGAAACGTTATATTCGGTGTTCGTCGCCGTATGGGTGAGAGCAAAGGTGAAAATGAAACGTCGCGATGGACATGAGTGAGAAAAAAGCGCCGGAGGTCGAAAAGGACGACCTTGGGGCGCGAATTTCCACCCCCAGGCCGCCTAGGCTGTATCTTCGGTACTACTCAATTCCACAACCGGCCAATCACATTTTTAGGTCTCATCTAAACGGCGTGGCAACATATTTGGCGTGACGCAGCTTTTTATCCTTTTTTCCGCAAATATCAGGCTTTTAATGTCCATATATCTCATATGTCCTGACAGAGTCCTTTTAATTGATCTTATAACACTATTTCAAGAAATCAAAAGACATTACGTTAATTTTTTGTTTTTACAGTATGGTAAGAGCCTAAGTAATGTTTAGTTGACTTTATAACGTTACGGAAAATAAATAAAATTATAACGACTAATACCGTATGTAATTCTTTTTGAGTTTTTAGGATAGAGTTTTTTTAATCTATCAAGGAGACTGGTTCATTTTTTTTTTCCTAAATATGTGTCGTTTTGTGTTAGTTTGTAAACTTTTACAGGGTAATTACGTGAGCGTCATGGTACCAACCCTAGGAAAACGTCTGCCTAATGACGTAGTTACTGCCGCACCGTACCTCCGTTAGTCCGGCAGACGTAACGACCCACAATCCTACGGGTCCTACGAAGTTATCGCCGGAAATGAGTAATCGTAACAACTTCAGACCACAGAAAGTCTGAAGAAGAAGTGTTATGGGATGGATAAGAGATACCCCAAGTCCAGTCCCCTTAAACGTCCGGAATGTTAGTCTGTCATTACGGTACCAGTCATGTGGGTCACTGACCCACCAAAACCGTGACACCCCGCCACGGTCTAGGACCTTTTTACTTAAGGAGTAGAGGGTATCTCGAAAAGTCGTCTGCCTTCGACAATCAGAGATTTAGAGACCATGTGTCGACGTAAATGAGACTTGTATATCTTATTTTTGTGTTCATCTGGTGTGTGCTCGTCTGACTGTATCCGCGGTGGTTGGGTTAGCGACTGACACCTTATATGTTGTGTACTCTTAAATGTTCGTTGTATCCTATTTATAATTGATGGAAGCGGAGGGAGAGGGCTGATGACCGCGGAACTGAAGGGTTTACTCTTATGTTTTGAGAGGCGATAACAGACTTTTCTCCTGAAAAACCTTGGTGACACGTTGACTAGGTCACGGAAGATAAAAGATATCGGGTTCAGTCTGCCGGAGGAAAGGCACCAGAACTCAAGTCTTCACCGAACCCTGGTACCCTTATGCCGATAAATCGGGTAAAGGGCCTGTGCAGACACTTGTCACTGCAACAACTATGGAACGCTGAGGTCGTAAGTCAGGTGGACAGAAACTTCGAGGGGGTTTAAGACCTTCCGCTGAGAAGAAGTGTTACGAACAAATTCCGACGCACGTAGAGAAACCAACACGTCGCAAAAGGACGGTGTAAAGGGGGAAGGTTGTCTGGACAAAAAACACCTACACGAAACTTTTGACGTGAGACACTGTGTCGAACGAGAACTCTTAAAATAATAATCAGCTCCGTTGCAGCCCCGTTTTTAGAGATTTGGGTACGGAGGAAAAGAGAGAGGGTTGTGTTTTCTGACACTTGGTGAGTTCCCTGACACACCGGGGACACATATTCATGTATAAAAGAAGTACAAAAGCATGATAGGTCCCCTTTAAGGCATAACATGATTGGTAGTATATATATATATATATATAGGCTTTTTTACATTTTTAATTGACACATACTGTATGGTAGACATTTTGGTTAAATCTCAAGTATTTTAATTGTATTCACACTAGATTTAGAACAAGTCAAAGGTATAGTCAAATAAAGAAATGATTGCATATTTTTTTTGTGCTATGGGATGTTACCTGAAAGTACAATATGATCAAAATAAGCATTTGTACCAGAGAACATAGAGTTGTTTTTGGTTATTTACTGCTTATGTCCTGTCTATGACTTCTTTACATAAATAATGTTGAAATCACACCTTGAGGTTTTGCCAAAATTGTTATGAAAAAAAAATAAACAAGATATTAAAAACGTGTAAATAAAATGTATTATATTACAGTTAGTATTTAAATACTTTTTAAATGAATATTAAAATATCTAAATATGACTAGTATAGCCTTAATTAAGCCATGACATATCTTGATGACTGTCAGCATGTTGGAGACTGACCGGGGGAGCTGAGAGGGGATTTGATGAAGGCTTCGGGTCTGGGGGCCACCGGCTGCACCGGCCGGGTCTGTTTGGCTGCGAGCTTCTTCAGGCTGACCCTCCTCTTGTCAAACATCTCCTGCATGGACGTCTGCTTCTGGAAAATCTTCTCCACTTGGTCCTGATGCACAGAAAGTTATGAGAGGAGAGTCAATGAGGACATGTGCTACACATTGAAGTTTTTGTTCTAATAGAACATTTTTTGAATGAACATTAATGTTTTGGGTCTACTTTTTCTTATTATTTTTGAGACATACTATACAACAATTGATATCAGTGACACTGTATGCAATAGGCTTGGATTCAAGATAGTTTTATTGTATTTAATAAATCATCTTGGTTACATTTTGTTTTCCAGGACAAATAATACCATTGTTTAAACTTTCTCAATATGTCATCTAATCAGATAATTAAAAACAAAAAGGGAAAATTACTTTACAAAAAATAACATCCTTGTCCGTGTAGTAAATAATAAAACAGCTTTTTGAATGATAAATAGACATTTTGATAAACTCTGGCAAAAATCATTCCACACTGATTTATATACCGGTTTATAATTATAACTAGAACAATAACAACAATAATAATCTGGACATTTTTAATCTATTTTCAAAAGTTGACCCAAATATTCACAATCCATTTGACAGTGACAGAGGGATGTTGATTAAAGATGTTTTTTTCGGTCGTCTTACTTTAAACTGCGGGTTCAGCACCGCCTCGAACTCGGTCCAGATGTTACCGAGTTCCGTCAGTTGGTTCTTGCCTGCATCGTCAAGGTAACGCTCCAGCTCCTTCAGGGCTAACTCCGCCCCCTCGTGTGATTGACACTTGTCCACAGGCTGAGACGCCAGCATGTAAATACCATCATCGACCCATTTAGACGCCTGAGGAGGACAGCAGAAGAAAAATAGTCAGTCAAAGCAACAACAACAACAACAAACAAAGAAACTAAACCATGTGTGTTTTTCTTACTCTCTCCAAACTGCGGTGCAGCTCCATGGCTTTCACGAGGTGCTCCTTCCTGTCCCTCAGGCTGCTGCTCACATTCTCACTGATCGCTCTGAGCTCGCTGCATTTGGGCTGAATGGAGTCCTCGGCGTAGTGTGAGTTCTGGATCAGCTCATCTCCCTCACCGGCCAACGACGAGGCTCTGTTCAACCCGTCCTGTGGACCAGAGTGGAGTCATAAACATACTTTATTATTCATTTTCCCTAAATCCTTCATATCTGGATGAGTCTATTTTTAGACATACAGTTGCTCAGCACTGGTTGTGATGCTTTTTTTTTTATAGCCATATCATATAACATATACTGCCAAAAATGTTGAATCGATTTTTAATGTCAACCAAACATGCATCAAGTCAAACTGAACAAAAAAAATGACGGCCCTTTCCCCTGGATGACAGGGTAGAACAACATGATTTGATAGCAAAGCCATAATAATAATATTCTTGGGCAGTATTTAATTACCACGACAAAATCATGGCCATATTCAGCCAATGAAAGTGACTGAAATGTGCATTTTGAAGTGGATCTGGGTCCATATTAGATAGAAGAGATTTTAAAATGTTTTCAAAGTAAATGTAGAGGATTTAACAGATTTGGAAGATACCATGTAGGAGTACATAATCGCATCTTATATTTGTTAGATGTGTTTCTATCCTGTATTTTAAAACCCTCTTAGTTTTTAATTTATGTATGTCTACACTGTGAAAACAGCTTTTCAACCCTCTAAATATTCTGTACATATTGCAGATTTGAAAATAAAGTTGACTTTGAATTTAACTTAAATGCTTCCTTTGTGTTCGTGAAATGACGCTCAGTAAGACCTTTTTCAATAACGCAGCTGTATACTTTAATTTTTGTAAGGATTTTACGATTACGAGATTAACAAACTATTTTGTAACACTGACTGGCTCAACAACAACAAACCCACCTTATAGAATATATCACTCATCTATTCATGGCATGGTCAGACAAAGCTTTGATTGTGAGGGGTGTCACTTACACAGACTCTCTCCTCATAAGTGGTGAGTTCACAGAAGATGTGTTCAGCGTGGGCCGGGCTGATCCCCACCTCAGAGAAGGTTGAGAGTTTCTCAGACACCTGATCCAGCAGAGCCCTGACCTGAAGCAGCAGCAGAACCACAGTCAGGTGTAAACAGGATCATGTGGACTCTGTTCAGGTCTTTCACGGACGATTTAACCTGAGCTAACCGGCTCACCTCTCTGTAGTTGTGCTCAAAGTGGCGCAGTTGGAGACACTGCTCCAGTTTGGTTTGATGCCTCACCCAGAACTCATCGAAAGCCCTTTCTGTCTCGTCCAGCTGAGAAAACAGTCTGAGAGAGAAGGAGACAGCAAAAGATTGAGTGTTAATAAAAAAAATGGAGTTAAATGTAACACAAAAAGTAAAGAGAGAAATTAATAGAGGAGAAATGCAATGGGAATAGTGAGTGAGGTATTTGGATATATTTTCAGTTTTTAGGAATGTTATGTAAAGCTTATGCACGTTGACATGTCAGTCGTTGCCTTCAGTGTTGCTTAAAATACTGAACCTCAAAGCAAACTGCCTTTCCAACTACTTTTATAGATCTAAGGATGGCAGAGCTGAGACAGCAGTAAGCAAATCACATGCTTTCAAAACAACAAACCAACAAAAAAGTCTTCTGGGTGTACTCTTTGTTGCATGGGTGATTCAGTGCGAAAGCAATTTAGGAACATTTGTGCTGTACTAGAACAGTAAATATGACGAAAGACACTGTTAAACACTGAGGCCAGGAGACAAAGTGAGAGGTTTTTATGCCAGGCTCAGCTCAGAGAAATATATTGCAACATAAGGTGGTTTTTGCAATGTATAGTAGCATAGTTGTTTAGTAGTCATCCTGCAGCGCCATGTATATCTTGTGGTTCTCACCGTTGCACTGTAGCCAGGTTCTCCAGTTCGTCCTGGTTCATGTTGTGGTCGGGGTCTCGCGCCACCGGCTCATTGATGCTCTCCAGCAGCCTGCGACCCTGACCCAGAGCCACCAGCAGATCCCCCTGCAGACACACACACACAGACAGATTCGGAGATGTTCTCCAAATACATAACTCTCATACATGCCGAATATATTGTGAATAATGTATGTGTGTATTAACAGTGTTACCTTCATTTTGTCTTTCTTGTTGGTGTGTGTGCTCAGCAGGACGGTTGTGGCCTGGATTTCATTGGGGAGTTCAGTTTCAGCCAGCTCGGTCCCAAACGACTGCAGGATCTGAGCTGTTCTCTTTACCATCAACGCAAAGCCTTCTATAGCCTGATGCAAGCAAGACACAAACAGCATTATCAGCATCTTTATGGGAATCAAGAAAATGTCATTTGTACAGTGAGTTCAGTTTTTAGATTCAGATGAGGATGATAAATAATGCTTTTAGTTTGAATGCCGTTGCACTTCTTCTTGATTTATTTTCACATTTTAAATAGAGGGTTACATAACCATGTTTTGAGGATGTAACCTTTGTCTATATAATAATAAAGAAAAGACTGTTGACATAAATGCAAAAAACACAGTCAGCCTAATGTAGCTAGAACATCTCAAATTAAACCATTTTGTTATTAACTTTACCATGTTTCTATCATTTATCCCTCTCATTGTATTGTGCTACACAGTGATGTTGACCAGTGTACATACAGTGCGGTGAGATATCCACTTCTCATGGCAGTAGTGCTGCGTTCCTCCGAGCTCCAGGGTCAACTGAGAGCGGTCGATGTAGGCGTGCAGATCAGTGATGGAGCTCAGCATGATCACCTGAACCAGAAAATTATTACATATATCAATTGGTCAATCCTAATGAGTTTTTAATGTGAATTAAAAAAGGACTTGGTTAAGCTCCACTTTATAATAATCATATGACCGGCAATGTACACTATTCACTTCTTACGAGTCTCCTTTCTATATTACACTGGAGGTGAGAGTGAGTGTACGCACCGGCACCTTCATCTTGAACTCATCCTTGTTGAACTTGAAGAGGATGTCTGAGAGTGTTCGCTGCAGGAGGGCGGTGGGCCTCAGAACCAGAACCAGCTGGAGGTTCCCTGGGAAGGAGCCCTGCGACGAGAGAGAGAGGACAAAGACTCAGACTTTCATTTACACAGCAGAGAGCATCCTGAACCCTGAGTCCAATATACATCACTTTTCACCAGGAGAGTCTCTGTTCTTTCTGCTGACAGCCTGCACTTCCTTTATATTACTCCCTGCCTTTGTATCCCCTGTGAAAACCCTCACTCGCACACATTAAAGCACGTGTGTGGAGTGTGTTGAGAACAAGAGAAGGGGAAAGACGTGGGGGATGTCGGACACCCTCCTGTGGCAGGGACATTAATCTTCATGTCCCTGAGACGCTTCGGCATGAATAATGAGGCAGACACCAACTCCTACATGTGTTCAGCCTCATGTATTCAGGGTTTTCTGTTATCGATGAGATACGGCAAACACGTTTTTAAGTTTGTACTTCTATTTTGGGTTTGTGCCGGGACATGTTTACATGCTTTAATGTTACATGCATTCTCCTCTTTGTCTAAAGTGGTCCTTTTTAGTGGCTGTTTCTTTAAGCCCCCTGAAAAAGGCCCATTGTTTTGTTGATTTAAGAGTGACTTGCAAGTAAAACATGGAGCACTTTCACAAAGGTAGTTCTCAAGCCGTGGGTGAAAATACTGAGATAGAGAACATTATTTTCCAATTATGCATTTGACAAAAAGGGAGCCAAATCTGAATTGCTTGACCCAAGTTTTCTGACTTAAGCTGCCTACAAAAAAATTGATTGAGTTTTTTAATTTCACTGTTTGTGGTTGAGTAGTTTTTCCAAATATATGCCCTTGAATTTGGAACAAGTAGAGATTTCTTTTATTCAGCATAAAGCAAAGATATCCTACCTAAGCAGAAAAAAGGTTTATTAGATGCTGTCGGGACATCTTTTTCATATTCATCACATTATGTAGCTACCACCCATTCTGCTCAGCCATAGGACTCAATAAAAAGCTAATTAAAATGTCATTATTGACACCGACTGCCGACATAAGTACTGCTGTGGAAGCAGTCGGATGATGGTTGAGTCTGGACACTGATCTCCCCGCCTGAGGCTATGCGATTGTTAATGCTACTTTAATTAGCTAATGACCTAAACGGCTGCTTCGCCTGATTGGCTGCCCTTCCCGAGTGAGTTGGGGAATGCTGGCCTAAGCAAAAATGACAATGAATACATCATTTATAAAAACCACAAGGGATAGGCACTGCTAATGGAATTAATAAATCAATGCTGTGTTTGTCCTGGTTGACCTGCCAAAACCAGGAGGAGCACTGGGAAACAAAGTAATTCAACCATCTGGAGGAATGGAAATGATTGTGCGGATACGACTGTTTTTATAACATGCTGGTAGCAGGTTATACCATAAAACAAAGAGCTATAATATATTGAAGGTTAAGGGGGTTAAAAATGCTGTGCAGCTCGGAAACTGGCTACCTTCCTAATAAGCCTGACAAGGATTTATATTTGACTTATAGTCAACAAATCCCACTAAAAGATCCAAATGTAAAACTGTGCAGCCATAGCCAAAACCATTAAAAATGTTATTCCTCAGTGGCATATAGGACTGTCCAATTAATTAATTAATTCCAAAACGTATTCATGAGCAACATTTTTTAACTGGGTCATTTGAGCCTTAATCACATTGGACATGTTCACTAGTTTATTTTTGAGTCCATCTAACAAACATCAAGTACCATTCTGTGAATCCTCAGAAACCACCAGAGTATTTGTGGCGGAAAGAAAGTCCCGGTTTAATACCCTATTTGTATAAAAAACTACTATAGATAGTTACATATTTAGTTATTTGGTTAAGTATGAATGGTTTTAGGCAACACACTGGGTAAAATAAGCCGAAGGTATTGAGAGATGCACAAAATAAACATTTTCTTTTAATCTTGTTATGGCGTTTTTCAACAACAGAAACACTATATTAATTCTCCAGTCTTGACCTTTGAATGCATGTTGCAGCTCATAACTATCCAACCGTGCTGCCTGGATGTGTGTTTGCTGACAGTCATGGTCTACTTGTCCTTTACACGTCTACTCTCAGACTGACACACACACACACACACACACACACACACACACACACACACACACACACACACACACACACACACACACACACACACACACACACACACACACACGATAAATGACAGGGGAGAGTGGTTTGCTTTAGGATTGACAGTAACTCAGCAGACTTAATTAGACTCGGTCTGCAGACACACTTCCTGTCTGTCATCGGATCAAACTCAGCCATGCACAGCAGCAGACAGCTTTTCCTTGAACCACACTGACCCATATTCACACTAGCAGATGTATACACAAGTGTGCTCATATACAGACACACAGGAAGACAAAGGGGAATCCATTGACAGCGTAAACATCAAATATACTCGCTTATCCTGTCTCTCTCACACAGAGCAAGCACAACATGTAAACAACACATACTGAATAACCTGGCAGAGTGAACACATCAGAGTGTGAGCTGAATACAATATGAACTAGTCTCCGCTAGACAATAAAGCCTTGAATCTATGGGGCTGCAACTAACTCTTACGTTTGGTCTATAAATAGTCAGAAAACAGAAGTAAATGTCTGCCTCAGTTCCTCCTTTCCAAGGTTATGTATTTAAATGTATACGTCTGTCAGTTTATTACCCAAAAATACAGTTTAGTATGAAATTATACCACGAAAAGCAGAACATTTTTGGTTTAAAAATAACATGTGTGTGACATTTTAGCATGAACAAATGACTGGCAATTGTTTTTCTGGTCGTCAATTCTTTGAAGCTCGACTATAAACATAGACGACAAATATACGCTGCTACAGATAAAGAAGTGCCCGTTTTCGTCATCATCCATTTAGCAGCACGGTTGAATCACCTCAACAGGACATTATTGCAGAGATCAGTGAACGCTGCCTATTAGCAGCTTGTCAGCCAGTCAAACTCCCCCTTGTGGGATTAATAAAGCTTGATTTAATTTGAAATGAGCGATGTGGTCTCCCATGTGGTCTCAGGAGACATGGGAGCTGATATTCATCTCTAATTCTCTCTCTCTCAGACATTTCATTTTCTCGTATATCCCTCTCTCTGTGTTGACTTATTGCTGTGCTGCCTTCAGTGTTAATGATAGATCTGTCCAAAACAAACGCTCCCCTGTTTCCTGTAGATCAACAACAATAAACATTGATGTACTGCACTGACAGGAAATAAAGGTTAATGTTGATATAAGTGAAGGTATTAAAGCTGTTAAAAACTCATGTCGACTGCCCCGAGTCCCAAAAAGCAATATAGTGCGATGAGTGTAATTCTCCCCCACACGTTTTATGGAGCGCTGCCAGTGCTTCATCACCTCTACACACAAAACATGAAACACAGATGAACAGATAAGCATTTCAGCTCCTAGAGGAGAACACTGGGACATGAGAAACGAGCGGGGGGGTGCTCCACTGCTGCATTGTATCCAGCCACAATAAAATGACGAGTAGTATCAGTTCTTATGTGTCTCAAAACAAGGTGTGATGAAGCATTAAGTAGCAATGAGAGAGGTGATAGGAAAACAAATGATGTGCAAATGAGAGTTTATACAACAGCTTCTCTTCCTGCAGGGGCACGCAACTGATTAAGAGAACAACATATAGAACATCTCCTGAAACACAGCAGGGAAGTCTATAACCAGGCTGACCTATAACCTATCTACTCTATTGCACTAATATACATTTATGTCATTAGTTTATACAGTATGTTGCCATGTTGGAGGAGCCTTGGACTTAAGATGTTTAGTGCCATCAATAACACAATAACTATTTTGCATATAACAATAAGTCCTTTAAATCTTAAATCCATCTTAATTTAGTTTTGGCTTTCTTGTGAATGAACGAACAACAGAAACATTTTCTCCTTCCGTTTCCCTTTTTTTGGCATGTGACTGTTTATTTGTCACTGTAACTATGGAAACACATGGCAGGCTGTGATGGTGATGGGATGGAGTTCAAGGACGAGGTTGGCTCATATCAACCCCCCAGGGCGGGGGTGATATTAGTGTTGGAGCTGTGAGAGGGAGAGAGATGGAGACGCTCCAAACACCTTCCTCTGGGCGGACAGACCCCCCCCCTCCCCTCTCTGTGGGTGAGGGTGAAGGACCTGCACTCTAAAGAAATGGTTCCTCTCATTTAGATTAAAAAGGGCTGTTTCTCTTCCAACACAGACACAAAGAGAGTGAGACTACAGGTGAACAGGCTAAGGATTTGAACTAGAAATCACCATGAGACTTACCTGGCTGATTACATATTTTAAGATAATATGTCTTAGAATGGCAAAATAAGTTTAAATGAACAAATGAGGCATTATTAATTAATTATTATTATTATTATTAAATCTTCAGAGTATAGATATGAATAAAAAATGAAAAGTTTGACTAATGTTTGTGCTACTCAAGAGGAGATATTTGGCTCAGAGAAGGAGCATTTCTATTTAGTTTGAAGACATGTATAGTTAAACACTACCCTGACACTTCCCAACATATTATCTTTATTGACGTAAATAATACATATAACTTTTGTGAAATGTTATGTTTTCATTTTTAAATAAGTCATTATCTAATGCTAACTTTTTGGAGATCTTTAAAAACAATCATGAACAAAGTAAAGTATAAACAGAAAAACCTAAAATTATTATTTTGATGTTTCCATTCCATTATTCTAAAGGACGACATGCCGTGGTAGCTAAATAGTTTAAACCCTCAAATTTGACCTATAGTGTTTCGGACAGACAGGAAGTAGGTGCTCCTCCACATGTACACACACACAAAGAGAGACTTACTGCGATTCGAAGCAGGGTCCCCTTCACGGCTGCCCATCGGTCTTGCCGGCGATCAATAACCAGAATGAAACCCACTCCCGTCGAAGACAAACTAAAACACACAGAGAGGGAAAACATGTTCAACACAAACCAAACAGTGGACTAATTATACACAGCTAACTTGTGAGCAGATCTTTATATAACAGCACGATGAATGGTGAGAGAAATCAACTTTTAACTCACACGTACAAAGAATAAGTGAATCCACACAGAGACAGTCTGTGCAGCAGAGACTTTAAAGGACTGAAAAGTAGTTAGTCCTCAGAAAAAATGCAAGAGTTTGAAGAGGAGAGATAACAAAATGTAGTTTTCCTTTGCCGTGTGCACAGTGAGACAGTGGAGAACTGAAGTGCTCCTTCACAGCTTCTTGTTTTGTTCTGCTGCCTCTTTATCTTCTTAGACAGCTGGTGCAGTCTATAAAAGGAGATGCGCTGAAGTACCTCCAGATTTCTTGGCCATCAGCCCCCAGTTCTCCCCCTGCACCCCCCCTTTGTTCCCCGGAGAGAGGAGGGCTGAGCTTTACACAGCACCAACAATCAATGACAACCGCATGTGCATCACACCGGCAGACTGCCCTGTTAAAGACACGCTGCACCTACAGCACAGGTGCATCACTGTCATATAACAATCCAGCAGTCCTCAAGTACCTGCTTTCAGGTCCATCATGCTGCACAAACAGAGTGGCAGCAGATAAAGAAGTACAGTCCTTGAGATAATGGAGCCAGGATAAAAACACAGATCCAAGGATGTGTCTCAGAGGTAGATCCAGTGCTGTTTGACTAAGAGGGAGCCAAATGCTTCGAACCACCACAGCATCCCCCCCCCCCCCACCCCACACACACGCACTGCATCTATCAGCCGACCAATCATACACCAGGAGCTGCTCAAGCACAAGCCTATTGCAGAGTGATGAGCGGATCTGGAAGCCAGTCAGCAGATCTTAACATATGTGGGGGAGGGGACAGGCTCGAAGTGAGGCCACTGTACGCTTTACCTAGAAAATACAGACTGTTTATCCATGGCTCCTTTTTCACTTTACAGTAACGCATGTTATTTCATTGCAGCATTTCTTATCCTTTTTTCTGCACTTTGAGATTTTCTTTCCTCCATCGTCACCTTTTTCTTAGCTCTCGCTCAGTCATCCACACAGACACTCTCAGCCACTCAGAGACCAAACTGCTTTAAATCTCAGACGCAGAGGAGGAGGAGGAGGAGGAGGAGGAGGAGGAGGAGGAGGACAGAGGGTGAGTGGGACAAGAGCTTTTACTGCCTTTAACACATTTACACATTGCTGAGATGAGAGGATGGTTTATGGTGGTCATAGAGCACCTGAGGCTGAAATGAGTCTCTTCAATAACCCTAGCTGCGTATCATGTCTGTCAGATTACTTTCTATTGCTTGTTATTGTTCTTAATTAAGTTGGGACTATAAGAGTTTTTCTTCTTTTGTTATCCTTTTTATTTATTGACTTAGTTTGTTAACAGAGGCACTTTTATCAAAATACAAGCTCATATTTTTTACATAAAGTGTAGGTTAAAGACAAAAAAATAAACAAAAATTATTATTATTAATCGTTTTTCTCCAGACATTGATTAATCCTTTGGTCTTATACAAAATGAAATAGTTAAAAATCACCATCCTAGACAAAGTCAAAGTTGTTTTCGTATAATATCATGTTTTTATCTGTTTAACATGTGTTTAGTTTATAGGCACAACAATGAGTGTATTGAGCGTAGTTAACATATTGTGCTGTAAACAGACACCGTTTCACATATAAACGATTCAATTAAAAATATTCATAGAAACCGTCTGGTGGTGTTTTTGCTGCACATGCATGAGTGTCCTAATAATAATTGGATTCCTCCGGACAAAGTGTTAAGCTGTGAGTTTTGAGAAAGGTTAGTGGCGATGCAGCGATGAGGGAAATGTGCTGCATGAATGCATGTGCAGAGGTAGCAACTCACATGTTCCTGCACTCTGACTGATCAATACAAGAGCAATGGTATGTCAAATTAAAGACAGATTAAATAAATAAGCCATGAGTGCAGAATGCGTTTCAAATCTGGGATAATATCTAAGTCTCCACTGTATATTTTCAACATAAAACCATCTGGCATTATTATATTCATGAGTGCAAACATATGCAAAACGAAGGGGGGATAAAGAGAGAAGGGAGGGATGGGAGCATGGTCGGAGGATTTAGTTATTACTACATTTCGTATATGCACAAATCCTAAATAAATTAGGATTCTGGAAGTAATGAAATACTTAACACAACTTGGCTTTAAAAATCTAAATGTTTGCAGTTAATAAACAAGATAAAAACAAGCCCGATCGTCGATTTCAAATGATTTAATGTAATTGTTTAACTGACTGGCCATGGTAATCGGGCTTTTTGAAGATCCAAAAGTCAACGGTTTCCTAACTGTCTGATCGGATTTGCAAAAACTTCAGAATTTGTATTTACCGCCATTCAAATGACAGCGTTGGTTTCCCCCAAAAGTGGGCGGGGCCGTAATTTTCACCCGGAAGTGACGGAGGTGCTGAGAAGGTTATGATGAAACTATGGCCGTTTCTCAATCTCGAGGATACTGGCTTCCAAGCCAATATTTCAAGGATGCTACGTCATCGAGTGCCGCCGAAGGACTGTTCCAATCTCCAGCATACTTGGAATTCCACCGAGGCCACGTCCTTGGTTTGGGGGTAATTTCGAGGCTGCACATGGGACTTCGCGTCCTTCAAATCCCCACAATGCTTTGCGCACGGACCAATTTCAAAAACCCTTGCAGAGAATGGCTGAACCGACGCAGCACAGCACACATTTAAATGTAAGTATGTAGTGGCGTAGAACATGTGTTAGTAAATATGTTAATTTGTTGAATTTGTTATCACCAAAAATGTGTTCAGTGAAAATAAAGCAAGTTCATAATTAGATAGACATCGTG